CAACTTTAAGACTTGTGGACTTCAACTCCCAGAATTCCTCAGCCAGCTTTGCTGGCTGAGGAATTCTGGGAGTTGAAGTCCACAAGTCTTAAAGTTGCCAAGGTTGGACACCCCCTGGTTTAAATGATCCCCAACAGGAGAACAATATGGCCGCATGCAATCATCGTTCTCTGCTGTGGTGGATCTCTTTGTTTATTATTAATAAAACCATTTTGTTCTCTATTGATGAAGCCCATCATGACTTGGGGTATTTTTATGGCTCGAGTTACGTAGCCTCTCCAAATGGAAGTCGGACCCCAGGACTGTCACGAACCCGAGACGGCCTGTTGGTGGCAGAGATGGACCTGAATCTTTGCAGACAAGTTAATGATGAGTGGAATTTCAAGGTAAGACTTTTCCCATCTCTCTAAGCTGTTCGGTATGAATGTCTGGCCAGGGAAATTGGATCTCCTCTAAACCCGAGGAGGGAAATGCTCCCTGTGAAGCACCAGAGATGCAGCCGAGGCTACACTTGGACTGAACGGTCATTATGGCTTTGAGCACTTTCTCTGGCCAAAACACCTCTGACCAGTCTCAGCTTCAGTGCATTATTGCATTATTGCATTAATGCATTAATGCCATCTTGCATTATTTCAGAAGAAACCCAGAACCTTCACATAGTGCAAAACATGTTTGGAGTCTTAGTGGACACCAGCTAAATATGAGTTAACAGTGTGCGGTGGCAGCCAAAAAAGCCAATGCAATCCCAAATTGCATCAACAGAGGGACTGAATCAAGATTAAGGGAGGTACTAATAGCACTCTATAAGACCTTAGTAAGACTGCACCTGGAGTACTGCATCCAGTTTTGGTCACCACACTATAAAAAAGATGTAGAGACTCTAGAAAGGGTGCAGAGAAGAGCAACCAAGATGATTAGGGGACTGCAGGCTAAAACATACGATGAACGGTTGCAGGAACTGGGCCTGGCTAGTCTAGGGAAGAGAAGGACCAGGGCTGACACGATAGCAGTCTTCCAGTATCCGAGGGGCTGCCACAGAGAGGAGGAAGGGGCCAAGCTGTTCTCCAAAGCACCTGACGGTAGGACACAAAACAACTGATGGAAACCGAAAAAGGAGATATTCAACCTGGAAATAAGGAGGAATTTTCTGACAGTGAGAGCAATCAACTGATGGAAGAGAAGTTGCTTTCAGACATTGTGGGAGCTTCATCACTGGAGGCTTCCAAGAGACTGGGCTGCCCTCCGTCAGAAATGGTGTAGGGTCTCCTGCTTGGGTGAGGGGTTGGACTAGATGACCTACAAGGTCCCTTCCAACTCTGTTAATCTAATTTAATGTAATCTAAATGTCTGGGAGGCTCCAAAGCCATAGCCCTTAGACTTATATACTGCTTCATAGTGCTTTACAGCCCTCTCTAAGCAGTTTACAGGGTCCTCATTTTACCAATCTCGGCAGGATGGAAGGCTGAGTCAACCTGAGTCAAGCTGATCAGAATCAAACTCCTGGCAGTGAAATGCAGAGTTAGCCTGCAGCAGTGCATTCTAACCACTGTGCCATCATGGCTCAAAGAATTACAACCAGGTCTTGCTGATCTGTATCTTATGCTAGCCTTTTTATTGTGACTGGAAAGAATTTGGAGGCCAGAGTCGTGGGGGAAAAGTTGGCAGGATACAACTCTTCCCCTATCAGCATCCTATATTGCAAGGATCTCGGGAGGATCGATTTTGTAGCACTTGGTCCTTTTTCAGATCTGCTTCATCGTCACGTCTATTTATGGGAGATTTTACAGACCAAACACATTGTTAGGATGACCTTTGCCCCCCCGCCCCCCCCCAGAATTTGGCTGCTGTGGATTACACCCCCACCTCCATCCCCCATAGGTGGCAATTGAGATCCCTGGTGCCGATGGAGCCTCTCCCAGAACGTTGCTGGTGGGAAAGCAAACACCTTCCTGGACTTCCTTCTTTAGAGCTAAGGGTCTCCTGTTCCTCTGGACAACCTGTTCTTATCTGGGTTATGTCCCCTCTACCCTTTGAGTGATTCTCCAGGGCATAAAACGGGAGACTGACCCTTCGGGAGGGTTGATATAAAGGTTTTCACACATTCAATGTTCCCATGACGGTGCTGTTGCTGTGGACAATGTGGCCCCGTTGAGAGCTATTGCAGAGTAGTTTTGGGGACCAGTGAGAGCTAATCACGAGACCCCCAGGAAGCATCTCAAGATGGATTTGTAACTGGCTGACAAATCATACTCAACGAGTAGTCGTTAACGGTACCGTGTCTACATGGAGGGAAGGACGCAGTGGGATACCACAAGGTTCTGTCGTAGGCACAGGGCTCTTCAGTATCTTCATAAATGATTTAGATGAGGGGATAGAAGGGGAATTCACCAAATTTGCGGATGAGAATACGCTGTCAGGAATAGCCAACACAAACCCAGAAGACAAGCTCAGGATCCTAAAGGATCTTGACAGATTTGAACAAGGGACCCTATCTGACAAAATGAAATTCAGTGTGGAGAAAAGCAAGGTTTTTACACCTGGGCGGGAAAAACCAAAGGTACAAGTACAGATTAGGCAAAACCTGACTCAAAAACAGTAACTGTGAGAGGGGCCTTGGGGTCTTCGGTGGATGATCAATGCAATCCTAAATTGCATTAGCAGAGGGATTCAATCAAGATCACGGGGGTCACTACGATCACGTGGAACCATTCGTTTTATGAAGCATTTGATTAAATTAATCCTGGAAAACTGGACCTCCTTTTCCGCCACTAATGTGAATATTTGTTAGCAGGGATTGCTTAAAAAAAAACAACGCAGCCCCCAAAGCGCCTTCAGGCCTAGGGGCTTTGCAGCAACAGCTGAAAATAGCAGTTTATTTCTCTCCCTTTTCCAGATGACTGGAAGGTACAAGATGTACGCTGAGGCACTTGCTGCCTTTGTCCAACCCAACTTCGTGCCCAACGTCATCCGAGAGTGACGTCTCTCAGTGGAGGAGGCTCTTCTCCGGATGTTCCCATCTTTACAGGAATGGCCTCTTCTTTCCAAACGGTCTCCTCTCTTATATTAAAAGCTCCCTTCTCAGATGCAAAAGGCGTGTTGTAAATGGGGCATGGACTCTCTCCCATTCGATGGAAATATTTGGTCCCATCCTGTCCTAAAAACAATGATAAAATGCCTTTGATGAAGGTGGGATGCACCCAAGTCAGAAAGGCAGCTATGATAAAGATCTGGTAGATGATGCCAAGGAGGGAGACCCTGAAGGGGGGAGGGATGGAACCCAGAAGACAGGAATCTGTTTCCACGCAGGATCTCCAGAGAGAAGGGCAGAAATTAATGCTTCATTGAGGCAACAAGCACAAAACACCGAGAACAGGATGGAGATGATTACTAATGAAATAATATTTCATTGACACTCATCTGAATATGTGCGTTATTCAGGGGACGGGGGGGGGGGGGCACGAATGAACCTCCAGGTGGTCTCAGCAACTCTCAGAGAGAGTACTAAACGACCGGATGACTGCAAGGAATATAAATCCTTCCATCCTCCACCATTTGGTCAGAAGTGAGGAGGCTTCTTGGATGAGAAGTGAAACGACTTCCAAGGAAAAACAAAGTCCAATTGTCTTTTGAAAAAAAAAAAAAAAACATGCCTTTGGGACATTTATGAAATGCATCTGTATCCCAACTCCCAGCAACACTGGGTCTTTTGCAAATTTCTTAAAACATTGAAAACAAAAAGGAGGTTGAGTGAAGATGGCAACATGCCAAAACCAGATCAGAGCCAGCACACATACACACACACCCAGCCCAAAGGGAGCTCCAGGCCAAAGCAGGGGTGGGATTCTACCGGTTCGCACCTATTAGGAGAACCGGTTGTGAGAAGAAATTACTGGCCTAATCCTGTAAGAAAGGCAGGAAGGAAACATTATGGTGTTGCTTACAGAAACTGCCTCTCCGTTAACCCTTATTACATTCTTGGCAGGACTAGACTTCCTGTCTCAGGAACTTCTCTGGAGTTTTTTTCCCCTCCTTTGCTGGTACTTTGCTTGTATGGAGTGACCATTCAAAGTTACAATGGCACTAAAAAAAGTGACTTATGACCATTTTTCACACTTACGACTGTTGCAGCATCCCCACAGTCACGAGAGGCCAGGCGAGGAGATGCGTGCCTCGATGTGATATTGAGTTGGCCACACCCAGCCAATAACATGGCCACCAAGCCATGTCCACTGAGTCACATGACCACCAAACCACACCCACCATCTAAGCCACATCCACAGAACCGGTTGTTACAAATTTTTGAATCCCACCCCTGGGCCAAAGGCCTCGCTTGGTCCAAGGAGGAAAGAAAAATATGGCAGACAACGGGGTGAACCAAACGAGGCTGGTGGCCCACAGCCCAGCACAACTCCCCCAGGGAATTGCACAGGCCAAGGTGAGGCTCTTGGTCCAGAACGCAGAGACAGGACCGTCCCAACCACGAGAGGGTCAGTGGGCTGTGTTCGTGGAAAGGCAGGATGGTTGGGGGTGGGTAGGCTTCCATTTGGCTTCCTGCATGGAGAAGCAGGTTGACCCCCACCCCACCCTGGCCCGGCCCATGTCTCCCTGCCCTCTTCCAAGCCCAGCCTTCCGCAATGGTTCCTAGCTGCTGGGCTCTGCTGTTCCCTTACTCCCACCTCAAGAACCAGCCTGGCAGCTGCCCTCTGGGGACCCCTCACCTGCCTTGGAAGGAGGGATAAGCAAGAGGCAAAGACCCTCCCTTGCACTCCCAAGGTGGGCAGGTAATCGGGCACGGGGGATACCTATTGGCCAGGCTTTACCTGGTGGCTTTGGGTGCCTCCTTTTTCCAGGTTGTTTGTGTCCCCCTTGAGCACTCGCTGCTCATCAGGAGTCCTTCTAGGTGCTGTTTGTGCTCCGGCCCCATCTACGAGCCCCCAAGGCCCCTTTTGCTGCACTGCGGACGGGCCGAGCGCTCGGTGGCAGCTGCTTCATAGCGGCCAGCCATTCGCCCTATTTGGGGGGATGAATCTCTCCTGGTTTTCCCTAAAGGATCAAACTGCATCTCCTTGAAAGACCGATTTTCCTTCTACGCTCCAGGAAGCGGCCAAGCATTAGCCTAGAAAAGAGCACCACAAAGACCTGAAAAAAAAACAAAAACCAGCAAATGTTTCCTTATTTAGCCACCTCGCCCATCCCCTCTTAAAAGAAAGAGAAATCGAAGCGCGTTCAAGAAAGCAGGCTTTATATCGAGTGATTTACAAACATACTTTTGTCTATAAAACTTATTTTGCAGGTTTTTTTTTCCCTTTAACTGTCACGTGGTCGTGAAGTTTGCATAACATTTACTTGTCCGGAGCACCCAAATGAAGAGGAAGCGTGCAGGGCCCAGGCAGGCCTTGTTCTGACTTCCCCAATGCCTCTGGCCCCCTTCCCAAGAGGGGCACACCCCCCCCCCCCGCAGTCCCTTCTCTTCCACCAGCAGCTCAGCCAGGAGCAGCTCTGCCCTCTCAGCCGGGAAGGCAGAGCCTCCGCAGGTTCGGCACCAAGATTGGGGAGCCTCCCCCACCGACCTCTCGGGTGGCTGGCACATCATCCCGTGTCTGGAGGATGCCAGGCCGGCTGGCCGGCCAACCTCAGCCCTGTGAAGATGGCCCCCTTGCAACCAAGCGATCCTCCCAGCGGGTGGAGCTGCATCCTCACCCGTGTTAAGAAGGAGTTGGCTTAGGAAAAGCGGCTGCTGTGCTTCCGCTCGGCTTCGTTCAGAGGGACGAAGCAGCTCCCTTAAAGCTGGAGAACCAGGCAGCCATGTTCAGCCTTTACTACTTAGGAACGAAACCAATGCGACGAGCGGGCAAGACGGAAATAATAGCACTGAAGCAATACTAAAGGTTTTGACGGCTGGACTCCTCCCTCCCTGCGCAGGAGTCTTGAAAGCGGCCAAGGTTGGAGACCCCCGGTCTGGATGGAAGCAACAATGCCCCCCCCCCATCTGATAACCTGTCCCTTGTCTTGCCCCGCTTCCATCGGCTCCTCCCCCGACTCTCTTTCTTTGGGCTAGAAGCGTCGCTCGGATAACCGAAGACGCTCCCCGTTCCTCTTCTCTGCCATGAATAGGCACTTGCAAGGATCTGACCACAGAAGAGACATACAGCACAGAGTTATTTCAAGCCACACACCCAGCTGAGAGCAGAGACCAATGCGGTGTGTTGAGGTAGAAACCTGGGCCTCCCAGAGGGGCACGCAGCTCTTCCCCGCCCAGCAGGCGATGCCAAGGAGCCGGATTTCCAGCCCGAGGCAAGTGCCCTGCCCGGCAGTTAGGAGCCCCCCCCCCTTGCCCTTCTCCTGAACGCATTTTGGCCCTTCGTGGGGCCGAAACGGATCACACTGGGAGGGCCACTTTAACACTGGCAGGGCAAGCTCGGGGTCCAGAGTGGCCATTCCCTGGGCAGCTAATTGGGGGCAAAGGGCGGGACGCAGGCCCACAGCTTCGCTCAGGGGGCAGGAGTTAAGGCCGGCTCAAAGTGCGGCCCCTTCGGGTCGATGGTGCTCAGTCTTCTCCTGGCTGCGTTGGGAGGAAGAGGCTGGCTGCACCCGGCAAGGCTGGCTTCTGGGCAAAGGTGAGCCTCGGGTGAGCCCCAGGAGGCAAACGCTGATGAACCAGGACGGCTGAACTAGCACGGGGACGCAGCTGCGGTCTCTGAAATGCCTTTTTTAAAGGCGGAATTAAGCAGAATCCATGGTAGCAGCCTCCCACAAGCAATCGAATCACCAATTCAATGGACGTTATTCAGAACGATCGATTTGACAAAAAATGCCGATTCACCCAATCCAAAAACCTGAAAGAAAGGATTTCAGTCCTCTGAGAAAACCTTTTCCAAAAAGACGCCCGACTTCTGCCAACACGGCTCAACTTCCGTCTCACCTGAAAAAGACCCCCCGAAGGTGGGCGCATGATGAGGCTTCAGGAGGAGTCACTGGCTGCGGTGACTGGAGGGGGTTGGTGTTGCTTCTGGCCATGTCCCCCTTTGAACTCTGCTTGGTTAGACTTTGTTGATGCCTCTCTTTCCTTTCTGCCTCCTCCTTCTGTGGCTTAATTGATTGGCTTGATTTTTATCAGCAGATTAAGAAAAACTGGGTGAAGGATAGCTAGGAAGGAGCAGCTGCTCTTCGGGGCCCACTGAGCTTCATTCCTGCACCTCAAAGCTTCAGGGGTGCAAAAGTAAAGTACGGATTCGCTTCTTCCTAGGGCAGCCGCAGCAGCAGCCTGGCTGTGAAGCGGGTGAAAGCCCGGCCAGAGCAGATCAAGAGAGCCGAACTGACGGCTCAGAGGGAGGGAGGGAGGGCAGGAGGGAGGGATGGAGGCTATGGGCTGGATCTGATGGCAGCATCAGGAGAGAGCGCGGTCGTCGTGTTTCAGAGTCCAGTCTTCTTTAGGGAGGGGGGCTGGCCAGGTTTTAGCCTGGGGTCAGAACTGGGACACCCCACCCTACCCCCCAGGAAAATCACCTGGGGTCCCCAGACAGACCCCAGCTGGAAAACGCACTTTGTTATTCATGGGGACTGCAAGGGACATTCTGCTTTAAGGTGGCATAAAATACATTCTCCCCCCTCGAGCCCAACGCCTCCGTTGCTTCCAACCCGGTGTAGTCCGGGAGTGGAGGCCTCTGAGTCCTGAGATGGCTGCCGCAATGGCGGTGATTGGGAGCCCCAGCCGGAGGGTCAGCTGTTTTGGTAGATGAACAGGATGTCCTGGTCTGTGCCGTAACTGGTCCTGGCTTCCTCAAAGTTATGGATGCTGGTGCTGCACGTTCCTGTGGGGTGGACCCAGAGTCAGACATGGGCAGCTGTCCAGGACTCCACAGCCCAAGCCTCCCTCCTGCCACCACCGTGGCTCAGCCCCCTGGCGGAGGGAATCGCCTGACCGCACCACACCGCCCAAGAAACCAGGGGCCCAGAGGGCTGCGGGGGGACCAAGGGGGGCTGCAGGCCAACGCCTGGGCAAGGGCGCGGTTACTCACGGTCTGCATAGGCAGGGTTGTTGTAATAAATGCACTCCAAAGCTCTGTTGTAGCCACACAGGACGATGAAGTGGCCCTGGTAGTCGGGGCTGCGGCAGAAGCACTTCTGGCCAATGGGCAGGAAGCAGCAATACTTGACCGAGCTGGAGCAGAGGTCGCACAGCAGCAAGACGGCATTGACCAGCACGATGGCGATGTGGCCCTGCGAGAGATGTTCCTGGATGTCCCCGATGGTCACCGTGCTGCCGGAGAAGGGATTCGGAGTAACTTTACCGGCACTTTGAATGTGCGCTAATCGCCATACGTTAAAATGGAATGTTGCTGCATAGACCCCTTCAAAGGGCCTCCCCCTCCAACGTACCCTACGTAAACCCGTCTAAATAAAT